CTCAAGTTGGCCACATTGTCAAGTAATTCATTTGAAACAGCAATTAACATGTCCTTCATTTCTTGTACATGATTAGCAGCTTCTGGGCAAAGTCCTAGCTGCATTAATTTCCAGAATCATGAATATGAAAGTGACAGCAGATCAAGATGGCCTCAAAAGGATGCCGAAAGTAGATGCAATGTATACCTTACATCCATGGCTGCAGACAGAGCACAATTCGGGAGGCAAGCAAGCCTCTTGTTGTGCCATATTACATCTATCCACAGTTGGAGTAATGGGTGGAAACTTAGAAATTGAAGGTTGAGGTGTGCAAACAGATTGGTAGTGTTCTGAGACAATCTGATCAACATCAATATCCTGAAGTTGTGATAGATAATTGACAGATATCAGAAAATGATCTATAAATAAACCAGATACTATGGCTTCAGAACAGATGGCTGTAAATGTCAATCCTTAAATTTTTATCAAGGCTTTACCCCAAGGATAAACAAAATCAACTTAATAGTGAATAGCTTCTATTTAGTGACTACAGACTAATTAGAAGGTCAAGCATTTTGATAAATGTATTAATACAATTAAAGCAAGCACAAGTCCCTGCATCAAGTTAAAGCCAAACTTAAATTGTCCTAACTGTAGCCACCTTGTATATAGTTAAACTATATAGAATGATTCCTCGAAGTATTAACTGATTTTCAACTAGATTCAAACAACTAGAAAAACACAAACATAAATTACCTTAAGTATGTCATCGTCATCAATGTCATCAGCCAATACAGATTGGTTCAGTTGGTTAGTATTAACAGTGTGATTGCCTAATGATCCCCTCAAGTCTTTAGTATGAGTATGATTGAACATGGATGATCTTATCTCATTGTGGCTCCCCATATTATTTCCAGCTTCCACAGCATCAATGCTAGTTGATGAATAAGAATTGGTCATGCACCTAGCAGATTCGGTAGCCTTGCCATTGATTTCATTGAAGTTTTGATAAACATGGGTATACTCAGTGTGCTTTCTTATGTCAGATGAGTTTTGTAGAGTAGATCTTTCCCTTGGATTGTGTGAATTTTCATCAACAGAATCCTTAACTGGAATGGTTGTTCCAGGTCTTATGTAGGTTTTGCAAGACTTTGGAAGACTTGAAAGAACCTGCCAAGCCTGCCAAAAGTTTTCCATTCATAAGTAATTGAGATATCAGAAAAACTGAAAAATAAAAAAATAAATAGAACTTGGCCATGTCTGCATGCGCACTAGTCCTCCAAATAGATTACTGAAGCCAACTCTAAAAGTATAAAGCACGGAATGTTTGTTCAATCCTGGGCAGAATAGCATCATGATGAATGGAAAATTTTTAAAAGAAAAAGAAAAGGCAATGCAAGATAACTTCAGCTGAAGATTTAACATGCACAGTTACAAAGAGTAAAATGGACAGCAAATATGGTAATGTAGAACAATCATGAGCATATAACAGAAATATCTATTGTATTGTCCCTAAAACCTAACCCATAGCATAAATCTTCAAAAATGCTTTCTAATGACTTTACCTTCTCAAACTTAGGATTCTGTAATCTCTGAATATTCTGAATCTGGCACGTCATTAGCCTGCATACATAACGATCTTGGTTAGAGGATTCAGTAAGTTGGTCAAAAGGATGAATAAATGGATGTCTGTGCATTGAACTTGAATTTTTCTAAAAACCATGCAACTAAAGACTGTTAAAAGGAAATTCTTGACCCTACTAATTAAATTATCAGTTAATATTAACAATATTGATATCTTAAAAAAAAAAAAAAAGGATCTGCATTATCAGCAAATTAGTTTTCCCTGCAAAAACCAACCATACATAGACTTTACAGCTAATAGTAGGCTTTTGGAACAGCAACCATCGTTAAAGCACATTTCACTCTTTCTAAGCACTTCATAATTCCAAAACAACAGCTACAGATTATATTATAAGAAACCCATTAAGGAGAAAATATAAGGTAAAAATTTTTCCATGCCACAACAGTACATAACAGCAACATTGCCAACATACCCTGTAGCCATTTGTCCTTCACGACGAGGTTTTTGTGTTTCTAAGGAGTAAAGGAACTTTGAAACCAAAAACTTCCCTTGGCATGAAAAATTATTATGTGCTTCCACATGTTGCGACAAATTAACTTTCGGAACTTTGTCAAGACCTTTGTGAACTTCTCCTGAACTGCTTTCACAGAATACCAAAGCTTAATAATTAGCCATAGCCAGTGAAGAAACCAAAAACATAGAGAAAATAAAATACATAGAACCAAGAACAAAGCCATTACTCCTGCTTCATATGGGCTTTGGTCATTGATTAACAGACACGCTGAATTCTGATAAACATGCCATTGCTCAGAAACTTCTGCATCCAATAAATTCCTCAGACTCAGTACGCCCTAATTGGAAATCTACAGAACCTAAATCAGCACATACAGATTTGAATCGGAACCCTAGAAGTGAGGCAACTGAATCTAGATTGAACTGACCTTTTCTACTGCAGATTGCTTTCGTGCTAAGAAGAATCGACTCCGATTTTCAGAGAAAATGTTTTGATATAGTAGACGCGGAGGGCGGAGGAGGAGGAGGAGGAGGAGGAGGAAGGGGGAGGGAGTGAGAAAGCTTTGAAATGTAGCGCGGTGACAGAGTGGCGGGATACACGAAGCGGGCGAATGTAAAAAATCAAAAGGTAGAAGGATATTTAAGTAATTTAGAATGATGTCAATTTGGGCCGGCCTGGCTTTGGTTTATTTGATTTGGGCCTAATATCGGGCTTGGATTGGATGGACACAGATCGGCCCGGTGAATTGGAATAAAGCATGGGGGAGGTACTTGATATGACGCGTCGCTATCATGGCATTGTCGTCTCTTCTCTCAGCTTCCTTCTGCTTCAACGAGGTATGAATATGATAGTTTCTTTTCTCCTTTTCTGAGCTTCGTCTGTTTGGTTGCTGAGAAAATTGAAAATCATGTATGCCCAAATGAAACTCGCTATTCAACCTCTTGGGTTCACCTTATTTTTCCACTTCACATCAAAAGTTCCTTGCTTTTCTGGGATTCTATGCTTCAGTAATTCTGCTTTTAAGGTAAAACAAGACTTAAAGGACGTAATTCTGCTTGTAAGAGTGAATTTAGTATGAGATTAATTGGACATAAGGATAATGGTATATGGAACTTGAATTCAGATTCCTTTGCTGAATTATTTCCTGTAAAATTTGAGGTTTTTGATGTATTTTTAGGTTCAGATATATTGGTTAGTCATTTGGGTTTCAAAAAATAATTCTGATTTTATCCACACAAAAAAAAAAAAAAAAAAACATTTTTCTTTGTTAGAATTGTTTGCGTTCAGCTCCTACTGAAGCTTCCTCAAGAAGGTATAATTTCTCAAGAGGTTCGAAGTCAGTAGCTGTGGTTTTGAGAGCAAAGGGTACTAGTCAATTCCAAGGTTTGACAGTAATGCAAGTGCGTGGTGCTTCAACTGCAGTAGATTGCTCTAAGATGAAAATCCCCCATGTTTTGACCATTGCTGGCTCTGATTCCGGAGCTGGTGCTGGAATTCAAGCTGATCTCAAGGCTTGTGCTGCACGTGGTGTGTACTGCTCAACTGTTATAACTGCTGTCACGGCACAGAATACAGTTGGGGTTCAGGTTGTCTTTCCTTATTTCTTTTCAATGCCTTAGTACTAAAAATTCATTTTATTCTTGGACATTTATTTGTTTGGGATATCATTAAGCATTAAGCCCCACTGCATTGAAGCTTTTATCATAAAGTTTCATTTTGCACAAAGTTTTTGTCTTTGTTTGCATAATTTTTTTTAAGTATCTTTGTAAGCTGTTCTCGTTAAAGATGTGGTTGTGGTTGCAATATGCTCGTCTACTTTTTCCTCCTGCTTAATGTATTTTAATTTCTTGTGAAATTATCAGGGTGTGAATATTGTGTCAGAGGATTTTGTGGCAGAGCAATTGACTTCTGTTCTCTCAGATATGCAAGTAGATGTGGTAAGTAAGTGATCCTTCTGCAGATTGCTTTGAAGTGTGAACATTTTGTTTTTCGTCAATCTTTTTCAGTTAAGAACTGTACGGATGAAGATGAAACAATTAGAACTTACCTGCCAACAGGAAACATGGTCAACTAGTTGGAAAAAATTAAAGCAAAAACTAAGTAGGGAAGATAAAAGTGTCAACCATGTGTTAAGCATGGAACAGCACTTTGATTAGTTCAGTTACTTTGGGTTTCTTCTCAATAATTGAGTGGTAGTTTGCCTCATACCCATTTCAGAATTCAGATATAAACTTCTAGATGTTTTCTAAACAACCGTTAATGTTCTTAGGTGAAAACAGGGATGCTACCTTCTGTTGGCATAGTCAAGATTCTTTGTCAGAAGATCAGAGAGTTTCCTGTTCGAGGTATGCTGAGCATAAAAAGTTGAGTGTGTGCCATTATAGTTGCTAATCTGGTCTTGAGTTGACTAAGTTGGAAATTGAAGGCAGCTTTAGTTGTTGATCCTGTCATGGTATCTACGAGTGGAGATGTGCTGGCTGGTGCTTCCATTCTTCCTGTGTTTCGGTATGTTAAAAGATTTTTTGCATGAATATTAAGTGCTATCTATGGTCCAAATCTCAAGGTTTTGGACACTGCTTTTGTTTTTGTAAATCTTTTCTCTACTTGGTGACACTACAATGTAATTGATTTGAACTTCTACTTGTGAAAATCTAAAGTTGTCAATGCTTATGCTTTCTGTTTGATGCATACAGAGAGGAACTTCTTCCAATGGCTGAAATAATAACCCCAAATTTGAAAGAGGCCTCCGCTTTACTTGGTTGTGCACATTTGGAAACTGTTGCTGACATGCGCTCTGCTGCAAAATCATTGCATGCTTTTGGCCCACGGTTAGTAAAAAAAAAAAATGCCAGTCATTGTATTCTAGCACAAAACTGATGCTAGTCACCAAGTTGCCTCTAGCCTTGGTCAAACCTTTGATTTAGAATGACTACTTCAACCATAGAACAAACATATCTTATGGAAATAGATTGCTTTCTCAGTTAAAAGGTGTATTGTGCGTAAACAAATTGTTAATTTTTCTGTTCAGGAATGTACTTGTCAAGGGTGGTGACCTCCCTGACTCATCAGATGCCATCGATATTCTATTTGATGGTAAACCTAAATTTTATAATTGAGTGATGCCTATTTTTTTTTTCTCTTGCTTTGACATATTTGAATGGTTTCTGCTCTAAATCTGATTTTTATAGGTGATAACTTCTATGAGCTACGTTCACCCCGTGTAAAAACTCATAACACTCATGGTACTGGTTGCAGTTTGGCATCATCTATAGCAGCAGAGTTAGCAAAAGGTTCTTCAACATTTTCAGCTGTTAAGGTAATCATTATATCCTCATGGTTCATTTCCTTGATAGCTTCTTCACATTGGGTTTCTTTTGAGTTGGCATAGTGTTCTCTCATTCTAATGTATCTGAGTTTTTTGGTAGGTAGCAAAACGTTTTGTTGAAACTGCCTTGGATTACAGCAAAGACATCATCATTGGAAATGGGCCTCAAGGCCCTTTTGACCATCTATTAAGGCTTAAGAGCAGTTCCCATGATTGTCACAGGCTGGGGGTATTTAATCCAAGTGACTTGTTTCTGTATGCAGTTACAGATGCAAGAATGAACAAAAAGTGGGGACGTTCTATTGCAGATGCTGTTAAAGCGGCAATTGAAGGAGGTGCCACCATTGTTCAATTAAGGTTGGTTGCTGCCGTATGCTGTTCCATTTTGGTTAACCCTGACTGTTTTGTTTGAGTTTGTAAAAATCTTGTTTTTCCAATCACCTTTGGTTTGGTCTGTCTACAACCAGTTTAGTTTTTCAGTGAGTTTTTCTTTACCACATTTCTACAAACAATGTCTGATCTCTTCTAAGCCATTTCTTGAATTTTTTGTTTTGAATTATTTTCTTGTTATGCAAATATCTAAATGAAAAAGTGTTCTGCAGTCCAGACTGTGCTGGACTACACAACACTTACTATTGGATGGGGGGAAGTTCCCCATTTTACAGTCCGGTTCAGTCTAGATTGTAAAACAGGGGACTCATATCTAAGACTCTGTTCTCATGCTAAATTTATCTTCTTGTTGGAAGCTGGTTATGAGCTGAGTCTTTGATCAACAATCATATAATTTCTTTATTTCTGGCAGCAGTTACTGTTAGGTTTAATATAAGAAAATTTGAAACCCAGTAGTAATGGTGATAACATTTTCACTCACTTTCAGGGAGAAAGATGTTGAAACACGGGACTTTCTGGAATCAGCCAAAGCATGTCTTGAAATTTGCCGTGCATATGGGGTACCACTTCTGATCAATGACCGAATTGACATTGCACTTGCTTGCGGGGCTGATGGAGTCCACGTTGGTCAGTCTGACATGCCTGCTCGGGTTGCTCGAACTCTTCTTGGTCCTGAAAAGATCATTGGTGTGTCTTGCAAGACACCAGCACAAGCAGAACAAGCATGGATCGATGGTGCTGATTACATTGGCTGTGGTGGTGTTTATCCCACCAATACCAAGGCAAACAACCTCACTGTGGGTTTGGACGGACTTAAAACTGTCTGCCAGGCTTCCAAGTTACCCATAGTTGCCATCGGTGGCATTGGTCCTTCAAATGCCCGTGCTGTGATGGAAATTGGTGTACCAAGTCTAAAAGGTGTTGCAGTGGTGTCAGGTCTTTTCGATAGGGAATGTGTTTCAACGGAGACCAGGAAGTTGCATGGGATGCTAACGGAGGCAAGATCATTGGTTAATGAAAAGAAAAGGCATAATTGAATCAGACTGAGTTGTGTCCATAATACAGAAGAAAACTCATAATGAGAAAAGTGCCAAAGATAAGGACTTTTTGCTGTTGACAATTTCTGAATGTTGCAGGATCAAGAAAATATTCCAAAATGGAACAACTGGCTAATTCCTACTTCAATATATTCACTCATCCAATGGCGCATGTGATTGTGCACCTGGCTTTGTGGACCAACTGGCTGATAGCAAGGTGCATCTCCTCAAGCACTCCATACCCCTAAATTTGGTCTCCTTTATAAAAAAAATGACATGATTGAAAGATTTCATTGCAAAATACTGCCATCACCATTGTCATTTATATCAAATGCTGCTATCACCGTCTCATTTGATTTTGAATTTTACTATTAAAATGCACGAAAAGAAAATGAATATCTTACAATCACAGCTGAGATGACAATCACCAAAGGAGGATTAAGACACATCTTGATCAACCTCAAGAAATACCTTCCACATGAATATATCTACGAAAAATGACAGTAATTCAAAGCACGATCGAATTAATAGTAGTATCGTTTTTCAGCTTGTATTATACATAAAAATAAAAATAAAAAATAAAAAAGAATTAATTTAAACTGAAATTGACTAAAATACCTATTAACAGAGAGTTTCAAAAGATGATAAAAAGATACTGTGGTCATTTTTCAGTTCAAACTGGCATTTTTTTTTTTTTTTTTGGCAGGTCCAAACACAAAACAATACTTTCTTAATAGGAAGAGAAATGCACAGGAACAATAAAATGTAAACAACTGCTTTTTAAAAATCAACTCAAACCTCCGAAAATACCACCCTATCATTCCACATAAAAGTACTCAGAACCGGTTCTGTAGAACATAAGAAACCCTGAAGTTATCATCTTCTCCCAACTCCTGAAAAGAAAACTACCAACCGGACAGGTAGTTTCAAATCAGAATAGTTCCAAGACTAGCAGCACGGTCCCATGCCAATGTACGAATAATTTACAAACACTTATTTGACACAAGGTCCTAGATAGAACTGACTTTATACAAGCACGGAACAAAACTCTAGATCTTTAATTATTTGGAAAGAATGTATTGCTCAAGTGACCTTAACTTCTCCACTAGCGTGGGCCTCCTTAACGCTCTTCTCATACTCATCTTCTTCTTCCTCTTCCTCAACCTCTACCTCATTGACATCTCCATCTTCTTCTCCTACCAACCCAAAGCCTCCAATAGAGCGAGATACTGGAGCAGGAACTTTGGCCTCTTCAACTATTTGCATGACTTCTTCAATGCTTTGGGCGGAGAAAGCTGGGTTGTCTTTCCGGTAGTAAATAGCTTGAGCTGCCTCAGTCAGTTCCCTTGGCAAGTTCTTCGAAAACCATGGATGGCTCTTGATTTCTTTGATGGTGATCCTCTGCAAAAGCATGACTCAAAAATGTGATTGCCCAATGAAATGACAAACTAGAAAAAGAATAGGATACTGAGTAACAACTACAAACATCATCAAGACTACAGGTGACTTTGCAGGGAGTTCCACACGACTTAACAGAAGTAGAGAACATAGAGAAGATTTCATATGGCACATCAATCAGAAATTTCCAGATTTTAACTCAATGCTACTGGTATGGCCCTAGTTCCTTGATTTCATCTCAAAGAGAAGTCACCATTCCATGGGATATTCACCTCAATATTATGATCAATCATACTCAAGAATAATCCATGCTTTACTAGATAATCATAATTAAGGTAAAAAGAACCAGGATAAAACTCTTTGTTTCAGATGGAGAATGCATAATAGAACTCCCAAACAATAGAACAAGAGAAAAGAAAAAGTAACAAACTTGCTTCAGGCCTATGTACTAAGCAGGCCAACTTCACCGAAAATATGATGCACAGCAAACAAATGAGTCTTTTATAACTTGCGCATTACAGCAGTAGCAAAGAGAAAATAAGAGGATATGTAATGAGTTCTTAAAATTCCTGACTATATAACCAATTGGGCTAGAGGATATGTATTAGTAAATATTTATTTCAAAAATTTATATTATATGCATCTTCAAAAAAGTTGATTTTGATTCTTGAAGTTCAGGAACTGTCATACATACCTTGGCTGGGTTGGCTACAAATATTCGAGAAAGAAGATGCTTGCAATCTTGAGAAATGTGGACATAGTCTGGGATTTTGTACTGAACAGACAATATTCTCTGCAGGAGACCAAACACAGAATATCATAGATATCAAAAGGTTAAGGACCATAAATAGGGTATGAAAAAAAAAGGGGGACTTACATTAATAGTTTTCCTGAAATTCCTTGGATCCTCTTGGTCTTCAAATGGATATGCTCCCACCAACATAACATAAAGAGTCACTCCACAAGACCATACATCTGCCGTCTGAACCAAAATGAACTAAAATAAATCTCACCATACTGGTAAATTCTAAACTTTGAGGACTTTCTTTTCCCACCCAATTAAAATCAACAATGATGCTACATCTAAGATTTTCAGACTCATCTGAGATGTTCTTGTGGCTTTTCACTTATCATCCAAATCTTTCCCAGCATCTTTAATAGATAACAGTTGATGCAAGCTTGTAAAATCAAAAACAGAATGTTTAAAAATGAGAAAGAAGAGACAATTACCTTGCCATCATATTCTCTCCTAGAGAGAACCTCAGGTGCAATGTAGGCTGGAGTTCCAACTGTTGACTTGGGTCTTGAATGCAGCAGAGACGACTGTAAAAAAGAATAACTTCTTAGATGATGCATATCACTGATGCATGCTTAGAAAATTCAATATATTTGCTGTTATGATCCCTAAGCTTAATCAAACCTTTGAATAACCAAAATCACATATTTTCAGGCGTGGGGCAGGGCTTCCATCCAAGAGGGTATTCTCTAACTTCAAATCTCGATGGCATATTTGCTAAAAGATAAACAAAAGGGAAAAAAAAAAAGAAAAAAAGAAAAAAAGAAAAAAAGGTGGGTTATTTATACAAGACAGGGCATTTGAAAACTCTACAATTCATAAGTATTAAATTAAACTTTCTTTACCATAGAGTGACAGTAGCTAACACCTGAAATAAGCTGCTGGAAAAAATATCTTGCCTGCAAACATAGATATATAGAAGATTAGTAGAATGAAAAAAATAGACCAATAGTTACTTGAAATTTTCAATTTTGAATAAGCATAATCTCCCCACTTCTTGTTACTTTATTTCCTACATCATCTAACAAAAGTGAAAAGAGAATGCATTAAAAAATTAAACAAAATCCAGCTGCCGGATCTACTTGGTTAAAAAAAATATAGATAATATCATCCTTTCTCCACACGGCATGCTTTTCCCCCAGCCAAAACATGGGATCATAATTACTAATGAGAAAGCAAAGTCCTTGAAATCATATCAAACCTCATCTTCACTGAATCTTCCAGCATTACAAATTCGCTCAAACAGCTCACCTCCAGCCGCATACTCCATCACAATACCCAGATGTGTAGGAGTCAAGACCACCTGCAACAACAAAAATGAAAAAGGCAAAAAAAAAATAATAATACGCGTAGTGAACTTTTGTAATCATGCAATGCAAAGCCAAAACCAATTTCAAACAAAATTAACCTCCTTGAACCGAATTATGTTTGGATGGCGCAGCGATCTATGGTTTATAATCTCTCTTGCAACATGCTCATCGATCTGTCACCAAAATTATTTTAAAAATTCATAAAAATAACATATAATTACAACATGCATACATACATAACAAAATTTTTCAATCTTTTTAACAAATTCATATTAAAAAAGTTTTTAAAAATCACTAAAAAAAACCAGATAAACATATACGGACCTTAAGGCCGCGCTCAATGTACTTCATGGCGACGAGTTGCTTGGTTTCTTTGTTGCGCATCAGCCTCGCGACGCCAAAATTCCCCGATCCTATGTCCTTCACCAGCTCGTACTTCTCCATATTTTCCCCTTCTATTTACGAATCCGATAAATTAAAAGAAAAAAACCCTAACCTTAACAAATTCACAGAATCAAACCTCCCAAATCCCTCAGAATTCCGCAAGATTTCATGCACTTCCTACACAATCACGCACCAAATTTATACGAAATCTGTTCGAAACATCCAATCCTCAAAACCACGAGAACAAATCGGCGGTGGCGGTGGTGGCGGTGGTGGAGGCGAGTTTGAAGAGATTTGAAGCGAAGCAAAGAATCTAGGAATTCAGAACAGTGGAGGAGAGCGGAGTACACGGAGAAAGGAGAATAAAGAAACTGCGTTTTTGCCCTTTATATGAAATCAAATCCTGACTCCAGAGGTAAGGTATGTCGTTGAGGTGAGAGAATATATGGAAGAATATATCTGACCGTATATCTATGAAGCGGGGTCAAGGATTCTGTGCGGAGGGCTTTACCGAGCTTACAATGAGGTGTCTGCCATGATTGGGTTTCCTTTTTTTGGTTGTAATTTGCAATCAGAAACTTATCTTTTTTTTGGTAACCCCTTATACCCTTCTTCTGTTCCCTTTCCCAAAATAATAATAATAATATAATAAGTGATATTGTTTCTTTTATTATTCTGTACTGATAATATTATTTTTAATTATTAATGATAGAGTATTAATGATAGAGTAAGTATTAAATATCAAAAATTTCCTTCTTATAAATAGTTATAAATAGTATAGTTTATTTAGGTTAAATTACACTTTATTTTTCTGTTAAGAAATCATGTGAAAAAAATTTATAAGATTTTATTGTCTTTAACAAAATACAAAAACTTTATGCAACTTTCTCAAGCAATTACCTTTTTAATACTTTTTTATTTTTTTGAATTAGTACAATTTTTAGAAAATTAAGGAGGAAAAAAGAGTCAAGGGCTCTCAAATCTTGGTAAGTAAGTAATCAGTAATACTACTTTCATCTGTCCTATTAGTTAGGTTTTTTAATGTTTTTTTAATTGTTAATGTTAAATGATAAATTTATAATGAAAATTAAAATGGAACAACAAGTTTAATACTAGAATGAATCATAAATTATAGAGTTTTGATAATAAAAGTGATTTTATCACTAATATAAAAAATTTTCTCAACTTCGTTATTACAAAAATTTAAACTATAACTCTCTTTTCTTATAGTTATAGTGATTTTACCACTAATATAAAAAATTTTCACACCTTTACTATTATAAAAATTTAAACTAGAACTCTCCCTTCTTATTCTTTATCTTAAGCTTGTCTTAGTATATAATAATAATAATAATAACAATAACAATAAACCCTCAACTGTTTGGACCAATAACTATCAATTAGAACCCAATAATTGATGCAAGCAGCCGAGAAATTGTTTTGCCATCAGACCACTAAGTACATTCAAGACTTCAAGTGCCTAGGCACTAGACACGAAACTTTTCTTTGTGGCAATGGACCAACGGCAGGTGGTCTGGAATGGAGTGGGCCTGTGGGAAACAAACAACAGGTAGTCAGTGATGGCCACAATACCTTGAGCTTGATGATCCTTGGAGGGCGGTGGTCTAAAATCCACTGAATCTCCTCTCCTCTTCTCCCCGCAATCTCCTTCCCCCAACAAGCGCGTGGAAACGGGAAGTCATGCTACAATCGGTACGTTGCTACTTCCTACAAACCGTCGGCAATACGAATACAATAAAGACAAACAAAATCCATTAATCATTATGACTTTTGTAAATGATTTGGTGCAGTTTGTTGAAAGAATTTTTTGATTTAAAAAAGTATTAATTATATCAAATATTATATTTAGTAAAAAATATTACAATTTTTTATAAGTTAATTTTTTTTATTTTATTATAAATTTTAAAAGTATTGAATTGTGTTTTTACAAGAATTTTTTATTTAAATTTTAATGAAATTAATAAATTATTCATATTTTATTTTTATTATTTTATTTATAAAATAATACTTTTATAATAATTTTTTTTCAACAAAATTTTTATTAAAAGTTCTACCTACCTCAAACATGCACTAAAACAAAGAAGGGAGAGGCATTGATGACCAAGAAGATAAAACTGACCCTGAAAGAAGCCGACGCATGTGACACGTTCGCTCCCCCCTGGCTATCTTTGGATCTTTCTCCGCCCTTCCGTTGTAACCATCCGGGACAAATTCCGTCGAGTGGTCAATACTAAATGATGTAACACACGAAGGGCGTGTTTTGTTACCGAAAGCATTTTTGGGAGAAATTATTATCTATTAAAATGGCTTGATATGAACTCAAAAACTCAAACTCCTTCTACAATTTCTTCAAAAAGATAAAATAAAACAGTTAAAGAGGTAACATAGCAATATATAATCATTTATAAATTAATATAAACGGCTTAGATTTGCCCAGAAATATTTTCTAATAAAATAATAAATAAATACCAATTATCAAGTCAAATATATATGTTTATGATATTGAGTTGGATTATAAAATACGGTATTATAGAGATAACTTTTTTATATTATCTTTTGATATAATTTATATATATTATTAAATAAGTGAATACATTTACCATTATAAGTTCCATATGAATCAAAAGAACTAATTATTTAAATGACTTGTCAAATTATACAAAAAAATAATAATAAATTATTCCAAAATCATTCCCCTATTATAAAAATTTCTTTAAGTCACTTAAGAAATTTATAATCTTTTACTTAAAAAAGAAAAGAAAAACTACGGATTATCAAATACCAATTAGCAGTAAATCGGTAAATGAAGTAATGCTTCTTCGCCTGTTTCTTCACCCCTCATTCCCTCACCAACCTGTCCATTGGGCTTGTCAATCAGTTAGGTCTATTGGGCTAGGTTTAAGAAATTTTGACCCAAACCAGTGCCCAAGATTTCTTCTTGGGCTGTACCGGGCCCATATAAACAGCAGCTATCCAAGTCATAATTTTTAGCGGAGACTTAAAACCGACGGAATAATTCAACAGCTTGTCAACATAACTGGATGTCAATTACCTCCAACTGTCTAATAAAAAACGACGAAATTCTGAATCTACGAAACGATAAAGGAGGAAAGGGAGAGACGACACAGGCACGGGAACGTTAGATCCGACCATAGCCGGCGACCGTCATGTCATCCTCCGTCCGATCCATCTCTCTTTTCGCTTTCATTATCCTCCTCTTCTCTCCCGCGCTAGCTTCCGAGTCAGATCACAAGGTGCTCTCTTACTCCCCCTCGCTCTGAACCCTAACCCTAACAGTGGCTCCCTAGATCTTGTTATTTGCGTCTCATTTGCTGCTGAATTTGAGTTTGATCTGTGTATTTTCGTTGTTTTTGTTCTTTATTTGGACGTGAGCTCTCCTTGTTGACTGATGTAATTGTGTTGTTTTAGGAGTTTTTACTGCTTCTGAGTACAAGCATATCCTAGATTTAGGACCTAGATCTGAGGTGGATTTCGACTCTTCCAGCATTTTACATATACAATTCAATGCGTCTCAATTGTCCCAAGAAAAGAGTGAATGTTTTTTTCATGCACAAATATGCATGTCTTTGTGCAGTATTTACATTTGCATTTATGCACATATATATGTTTCACTTCTATATATAGGTATTAAAAGTGACTGAACCGGTTATGGTCAAATCAGGTTGTTAATCATTGTTGGTTTTTGAATGGTCAATCATAGAAACATAGATCTTCAGTGCTTTTACCGTCAGATGGCATTTTTTGTGTATTATTTTATTAGATTTGACGTTCATTTCCTTGCGAATGTGTTAGTTGCTGATTTGATATGTCATATGTCATAAACTACAAGTCTACAATGAATTGTAAAAATGTCTCAGTGCATGGTAGAACTGCGAATAGGAACTATCTAGCTAAAATTGATGTAAACCGATTATAAATTAGGAGCTTCGTGTCAATTTAACTGGCATAATTAGGGTGCTAACCCATTTTAGCTACCTTTAATGTTAAATGTTATTGCATCTTGATTACAAAATGAAGATGCAGAAAATGCGTGAATTATGTTGTAATTCCGTTATTAATCCTTTTCATCAACTAAGTTTAGTAGTCTTCATCTTTATTATAGATTTCTTAGCTTGATCTCTTGATGCAAAATTGTTAGGAAATAACAACCGCAAAATTTTCTATTTAACAAGTATCCGAATTTTAATTTTCTTGTTGAGTCTTGTTCTTCAAATGTTTATTGGTAGGGTTAGTCATAGACTCATACAGGGTACTGTAATCTTCTTTATACTTTTATGTTGCTTGATTTGCTTCTATGTTTTAATTTCAACTATGAAAACATAAATAGATGCATAATTGTGCATTTAGTTTCAATGATGCCCCTTCTATCTTCGTTCTGCAGTACCAACCGGATGATCCAGTTACTCTTTGGGTAAATAAAGTTGGTCCTTACAATAATCCGCAAGAAACATATAACTACTACAGCCTTCCCTTTTGCCATCCATCAGGGGATTCTGCTCACAAATGGGGTGGTCTTGGAGAGGTCCTTGGTGGAAATGAACTCATCGATAGTCAGATTGACATAAAGTTTCGGAGTATGCCCCTTGAATATATTCTGGAATCTCTGTTATGGTAGTTTCACTAATAACTGTGGTTTTATGAGTTTGCCCTTTTTTCCCACAGAGAATGTGGACAAAAGCACCATTTGTCAGCTAGAACTAGATGATGCAAAGGTTAAACGGTTCAAAGATGCAATTGAGAACAGCTATTGGTTTGAATTCTTTGTGGGTATGTCTAGCTTCCTTTGCATCTGATGTTCTTTGTTTTCAGAGTTCAAATGATTAGTTTGTCTACATGTCTTACTTCCTTGAAGAACTGACTCTGTCTTTCTTTCTTTTTTTTTTTT